CGCCTCCCTGGGACTAGCCACATTTCCGAACCTTTTACTTTAAACCACAAGAGTGATGGATAGATGTGGAGGCAAGTTGGTATTTACTTCCCAGCTCACACCCAGACATCCCACAGCTCGCTGAGACAGCCACCTGTAGGCCTGCATGACAGCAGCGTTGTCATCCTTAGAGAGATAAACAAACAAAATCCAAGGCCTGAAACAAAATTATGTGAAGCAAGTGCATTGACAGACACAAAACACCTTGGGCCAGAATGGAGAGCAACTAATGCCTCATAAAAGCCATTGCCCATTGTATAATCAAGTAACGTGACATGGGAGAAAGGAAGGGGGAAATCACAGTATTTGTGAGCTCTCAGGTGTAGCAATAGTGATAGAAATGTAGCCGTGTTAGTCTGGGGTAGCTGAAGCAAAATGCAGGACAATGTAGCACTTTAAAGACTAACAACATGGTTTATTAGATGATGAGCTTTCGTGGGCCAGAACCACTTCCTCCGATCAAATAGTGGAAGAAAGTAGTCACAACCATATATACCAAAGGATACAATTAAAAATGAACAAATATGAAAAGGACAAATCACATTGCAGAACAGAAGGGGGATGCGGGGGGGTGGGAAGGGGGAGGAAGGAAGGTAAGTGTCTGTGAATTGATGATATTAGAGGTAGGGAGAGTGGGATGTTTGTGAGTTAATGGTATTAGAGGTGATAATTGGGGAAACTATCTTGGTAATGGGTGAGATAGTTCAAGTGTTTGTTGAGTCCTTTTTGGAAAGTGTCGAATTTTAACATGAATGACAGTTCAGATGACTACTTTCTTTCACTATTTGATCTGAGGAAGTGGGTCTGGCCCACGAAAGCTCATCATCTAATAAACCATCTTGTTAGTCTTTAAAGTGCTACATAGTCCTGTGTAGCAATAGTGATGCAAGATCTAGATTGGCTGATCCCAGATCAGAGCCACCCTGCCATTCAGTTCTCTCACACACGCTCTCTCTCCCCCCCCCCCCCTTCTGCAAAAGTCTGCAACAATCCCAAATGTGCTAAAAATTCCCCACTGGTAGGGCAGTGCTCTGGCCAGCATTTCCACGCTGCTGTCTCTCCTACATGGTCTCTTGCAGCAGATGGCACAGACTCTCCCATGCACACCAATCATGTGGGCTCTTTAAATTCACTGAATGCTCAAATTTATGGTACATCCTCCACCCCCCTCCATCCAGCCTGGGCAACTCTCCAAAGCAGCTCCAGTGCAGGAAGAAGCTAAGGGATAGCATATTTGAAGAGCCAAGGCTCTGGAGGGAAATATATTTTATTTATGTATTCATAAATACAGACTGGTGCCAGCAAATGAGTAAACACTGCATTGCCTTGGAAAAGAAAAGCAAACAAAGAAAAGTGAAAATAACTCTTCTGAGCTATTGGCCAGAATGGCAACAACTTACTAAAGCCCAAAGAAAGCTAGAACTGCAAATGAAAGGCTGCTACTCAACAGCAACACCTCCCACTCACACACCCCATCTGCTGAGGGTTAAAAGCCAAACAAAGTCCTCACACTCTTCTAGCTCCATGGCAGTCAGTGCCATACAATGCTGAGAGCGCCCTGGCAATAGCTACAATTCACAGCTTCACAAAATTCATTTAAGCCATGGGCTTTAGGTATGTGTCTTAGCCTGGTCAAAAATATGGGAAACCCTCATGTTATGTCTCACAGACGGAAGTTATTGTCATGTCACTCATTTCCTATACCCATTTCTCCATCTTCCATCAGTATCCACGCTGCTATTTCTGCATCACACTGCACCACATTCTACCTTTCTGTGCCAGGTTGGTTTTCTTATCTCAATGCCCAATCTCAGCACGTAGTATGAAGCAGCGTGTAATGATCGGCCAGTGCAGAGACGAGGAAAGAAGTCCCACAGGCCACAACTCTGGGTCGCTGCTATTGAGCACTTGGCAACATCTGTCTGGCATCTCTCTCTGGATCCTCTTTACTTCAGCAGTGGTGGCTGAGTGTAGAAACACAGAGAACATATTTGCTACTCTTGTTAACCTGTGGAATCTCTGCTTGTGTATCTTTTAGAGAGGTCATGGGATAGTCGGGAAAGGTACATGATACATGCATCTTTAGGAATTCCTGCCTCTTCAGCAAGCTACAAGATGGAACTTTTTTCCTAGACCAGAAAATCACCACTGGAGACATTGAAATGCCAATAGTCATCCTTGGTGATCCAGCCTACCCCTTACTTCCATGGCTCATGAAGCCATACCCAGGCAGTAAGAAGTTCAGCTACAGACTGAGCAAGTGCAGAATGGTGGTAGAATGTGCTTTTTGGGCATTTAAATTAAAGTTCCAGAGACCTATTGACTAGGTTAGACCTCAACAACTGCAACATTCCCATTGTGATGGCAGCTTGCTGTATGTGCTCCATAGTATTTGTGAAAGCGAGGGGTTTTGAGCTGCTAGACACCCAGGCAACAAGGCGAGCATAGTGAGGGGCGGTACAAAGCATAGAAGCTTTGAAAGCGTTTTATGAATGGCCAGATTTGAGAGTCATGCACATTGCTCTCAGTGAGGTGCCCCTGCTTTCAATGAGCTTGTCTGTAACCCCTGTTTTATTTAGGGAACACAGCAGGGATAGAAAAGGAGTCCAGGGCTAGGGCCGCGTATGTGTGTGTGTGTGCGTGTGTGCGCGCGCACGCACGCGTTTGGGGGACATCCCTAGGGATTAAATGTGAGGCTTCTCTTTACTCTCTAGGGCCCCTGGTTTAGGCAACTATGGAACCTGGTGAGTAGGGAACATTGATCCAAAAGTACTGGAGGGGTTGCTGTCATGAGGTCCATTACATCCACCATGGACAAGACTCTCTCCTGGGGCTTCACATCTAGCTCCCTGCATGCTCTCCATTCCTCATGTTCCAGTCGCACCTCCTCCAGGAGCATATTCCTCCACTAATTTATGCAGTTCCTGTCCAAGTTTGCAGACTGCATTTACTCCTTCCACATCTCATCCTTAGTCCATTTTTGCCTGAGGATTTGTGCCAGGTGGATAGCTGGTGGGTGGGGTCGAGGGAGTGTGCTGCAGGCAGAACAAAGCAAAACTGAAAAACGGAACATGAAAATGATTCTAACCAGAAGCAAAACAAGCTGCACTAAATTGGGGGGAAAACAGCATAATCAATGAAATGGGAATTGAATTTGAAAATTATTTCAGTCTAATTTAAAAGGTATTAACATCAATCAAAAAAAAGGGGGTTCACTCCCTCCCCCACAGCTAAGATGCTGCTTCCTTTACTCATGTTTGTTCCAGCAAACTGACTGGAAAGACAGCTGCAGCACCTTTTCGAGGGATGGATGGAGAGAAGCAAGACTGAGCTCATTTTCTTGTGTGACAGAATCCTAAGTCAGAATCCAAATCTCAGTAGGAGAAAGCACAAAGACTCATTGAGTCACTCACTCCTCATGGCTCAGAGCCATCTGGATGGAGCCACTCTGTGCTCCAGATAGGACAAGGAAAACGAGTGTGCTGCCCATCAAAACTGAGGAAAACATGGACTGCAAAAATAAAATAAAATACAAAAATAGTGAACAGTGTTCCCTGTAAGCTGAGCTCTTGGGTGGCTGCCCAGGAGAGATTCAAATGCAATCCAGCTGATTAGCAGAGCACCGACAGCCCCTCACAGCTAACAGCATGTATTTCTATTGGTGGTACACACAACATTTATTCCATACAGATAAAAAAATAGAAGGAACATTCGCAGTGGGGTTTCCTGGGGGCAATTGCGATATGAAGTGTCTCCAAAGAAAAGGGAAATTATGTGTTTAGCATCAAGTTTCTCTCTGCACACTACTCGGTTGTTGGATCAACTTCTGTCGGTGAGACACACCAACTTTTAAAAACTTACACAGAATTCTTCTTCAGGTCTGGGAAATTAACCCAGACCTGAAGGAGAGCGCTGTGTAAACACAAAAGTTGGCCTGTCTCACTGACAGAAGTTGGTCCAAAAGGTGTTGCCAAATTCACCTTGTCACTAATATCCTGGGACTGATTTGGCTACAGCAACACTGACACCACTTGCTCTGTATAGTAGCACAAGTATCACAAAAACAACTGTGTCATCATAATGGTAACCCATCACTACATGTTATTTTTCTGAACACATAGGCAGCTGGCACCCTGAGAAAAGACATATTATAGTTGTGAAGGTCACACTACGTGGATTGTGCTCTGCAAATTCAGAATGTAGAGGATTAAATATTGTGCCTTCTTTGAAGGTCTCAGCAGGCTGCAGCTGTGTGCAAAATACTGCAGTCTGAATGTGATTGTTTTGCTCAATGAATTAAATGTAGAGGGAGATATAATTCTAAAACAACAATGTTATAAACCAAGACACCATTTCAGATGTTTTTTCAAGTTTGAGACAAAAAATTTTTAAATATAATGTTGGCAGCAATATATGCCTTAACCTCACCAATACTGTAAGTCATCTCTCTCCAAATCAACACTAAGTACCAAAAAAATTGAACAAATATTATATTTTTTCCATTTTCACATATATCAGACCATGGGCATTCTGAGTCTTTCTAGTTTCTGAAGTCATTGGGGTAAAACTGTGGTCCTCAAAGTCAAAGGGAGGTTTGCCTATGAAAACAGAGCAAGATCTAGGTATTTAGCTCTTTGTGGGAGACGTGATTCACATTTGTATCATTTTTGTGAAGGACAGAAGTGACAGCACCAAAACCTAGATAAGAATTTCCTAAAAAAAGCTAATTTCCTCGTTTTCTAAGAGTCTAGCGCAAACTATCAAGAGAAGTAGCTACTTCTACAACACAGACCAACGTGGTTTAGATTAAGCCAAGGATGCTTTTCACATTGACCAGAGACACACACTGCTGACTGCTGGTTACATTTACTTTCACCCAATCACATCCTTGAAAGCACAGAAACATTCATTTCAAATGTACATGTGTGTATATTAGAAATAAAATCCACAACATTTCCCTGTTGAGAATGACAGATAATTTATTCATTTAAATACACACAGTTGGGCAATACTCAAAATTTGATCTCAATATACAAGTGATTACATAAAGTTTGACTAACACTAAAATATATTGTTCACAAGGTAAAAAAACACTTTAAGTATGAAACGCCATGGTAAATGCTGGTCAATCAGTGACAGACACCTTTTTTTTTTTTTTAAAAAACAGTGATCTAAGGAAACTCGTGTGGTTTTTCTTTAAACCTTCTAATCAATTATTTCTCAGTTCTTCAGAATGGTGTTGACAACACAAAGCAAAATTTTCCAGTACTTCAAAGACTGTTTTTGCTCCCCTGAAGTCACAAAGCAAAACATAATCAAATCATGCTGCATTCAGACATTGAAATATTAACTCTTTGTTTTCAAAGCAATGCACAGGAAATCAGATGTACTAGTGGGTGGGTGCAAGGGGACTAAAAGCCTATGCATATTTTTTTTTTTAACAGATGCCACTTTGAGGTGTTCAGTCATTATGAATGCATTTACTCTCCACTATGAATGCAGAAAAGTCTTCAGCTCATTTCATATTCATGAAGCTGTGCAGTCCCATTGCAATTCTGCATATTTTAAATAAATTGTTCCACTGAAGTTTGTGTCAAATCTCATTAATTTTTCATGAAGCATGTATGATTGCATGGAAAAAATTGGCCTTTAATGTGTTTGTCTGCATTAAAGTTACATACATTATCTTGTAGATGAAATCCAAACATGTATTTTGCTTGAAATGTCAGTCGTTATCACAAAACATATCAATAAGTTAAAAGGCATTCACAATACAAGATTCAGATAATTATTCCACATATACAAAACACAGCTAGGGAAATACAATTCTTCAATGCTGAATTATGGGAAAAAAGTTCTAAAAAAATAGAAAACTCTTGATAGCTGGACATCAATTTAGAATGTAACACTGCATAATGCCGCAATATGAGCACCCATTTAATGAGAAATCCCCTGGAAAGAGAAGTGTAAGGGGATCTAATATTTATGACAAAAATAGATGAATACTGCACCCAAAGGCATGCATACAATCGCCATGGTCATTCAATATGTTAGTGATGATTTAAGAGTGACCTAAGAGAAGAGTGAGGCAGTGTTTTCAAATCAAAACCAAGTGAATGACTATATGTTGACTAAGCTTTCTGAGGCAGCAAAGTGAGGGCACAGAGCCATGTCTGGATTCTGGAGTTGTTTTAAAATTCGCTTGTGAAATTTCTCTCGCACACGGTTGAATTCCATTATGTCCAGTGGATCCTCTTCAATCCAGAATTTGTGGAATTCATGCATCAAATAGCCTAATAAAAATAATTCAATATTTAAAGAATTAGAACACAGGTAAAGCTGGCCCCTCTTGTCTATAGAATAGCAAGCACTGCCATTATAAGTCACAATGCATATTGTGGGGTAGCTGAAACTAGTACTATTGAAGTCTGATGTATTATTAAATGAAGCTGTGAGAGACATACTAAGAAATGAAGCACTACAGTATACAGTATTAAAAGAAGCCTCTCTAAGGGGTACCTTCAAATAATTAAAACAAACCTCATAAAAATCTGCTAGCAATAGTAACAGAATCACTCTAAGGGTATGTCTACATTGCAGAGTTTCCGGAAAAATGGCATTTTTTCTGGGAAAAAAACTACACTTACGTCCATGCTGCAATTGCGTTTTCGACAGAAAGTTGAAAGAACACAGGGGTTTTCCTGACAGCAGTAAACCACTTTCTATGAGGAAGAAGCCTTTTTCCAAAAGAGCTCTTTTGGAAAAAGGCATGTGTGGAGGGGGAAAAGAGGGTTTTTTTGTTTTGTTTTAAAGAAGAGGCCTCTAGGAAAAAGCACAGGTGCCCTGGTGTCTACTCTCTCCATAGTAATCACAACTTAAATGTGAGATAGTGTCCAATCAATGCGGACACTATTTTGAAAAAGCAGATCACTTTTTCAATGAGCTTTTGCTGTGTGGATGCTCTCTTTAGAAATACGTTTTTCTGGAAGATCTCTTCCAGAAAAGCTTCTTCCAAAAAGCTTGCAGTCTAGATATAGCCTAAATTAGTTCTTAACAGAAGAAAATGTCCTAATTTTATGACACTGTAGTCCCCTTACTAAAGGGGCCTCTGTTTTATTCTGAAAAGACCCTGTGTGCTACAATCCAGACTACAATTCCCATGAGCCCTTGGGAAAAACAGGAAAGGACTCTTGTGTGGGAGAGGACTGCTCTCTCCATGTGCATGGAGAAAAGAGGCCTAGTAGTCTGGGACTCTGCCTTGGAGTTTGGAACTGAAGGGGGAGCCAGGCTGCTGCCAAGGACATTGATCCAGTCCAGGGGATGCAGCTACAGATGGGGACTAGATGCCTGTTGAAACTGGAAGTTAGCAGGCTGCTTCCGATAGGCACAGCATGAGGCAGTAGGTTTCCTTGATGAAGAAGTGCTGCCTGGGACAGAGCTGCTGTCTAGCCTGGACCGAATCCCCACTACAGCTGCAACATCCGCGCGCCAACGCAAGCAAGTGTCTGGGACTGTGGGTGGTATCACTGTTAGTACAAATGTTAGCTATATAAGCTTCAATTATTGTTACGTGGTTTGTTAATGCTGTTCATTGCTAAATCTGTTAATCCCTGTTTATTTAAGTAAAGATTGTTTATTTTAAAGTATTCTATTAGATGTATATGATTTGTAGTTGTTCCGGAATTAGATCCAGATTTATGTTGGAATGAGTATGTTCCTGGAGGCTCTCAAGGCACACCAGTGAGTGTGTACAAGGTCAGCCAGGTGGAGGCACCGCCATTTTACATTCATTACAAGCAAGGGACTGCAGCAAGGGGGTGGATAGGGCTTTCCCCAACTAAACACCATCACCACTGGGGTGCTCAGGATCTCTTTTGGGTTAAAACATCAGGCTCCCAGGCACACCTGTGAGTGTGACCCTGCTCCCCAGTAACCCGGGGGGTAAAGGGGAGTTACAACACCAAGAGCCTGCACTCAGGATAGCACTTACTCATGTATTTTAAAGCTTTCCCAAATCAGGATGGCTTGAATTAAGACAAACATTTCCAAAAGATTACTCAGTTGCTAATGCAAACATTACACAAAACGGTTATTGCTATTCACATCAAGATCATGGCTAATTCTTCCCAATAATTAAAATCAATCTGTTAAATTACTAGATCTCTCCTCTTCTGACATGCAGTTAGAGAACTGTTAACGTGAGCCTAGATAATCTAAGTTAAATACAAAATATATTAAAATACCATACAGGTTACAAGTAGTAAAAGAGATGACATTTAAATAAGTATAAGTATTTACCAAGTATCTTATTTATATTCAGTTATTCTCATATTCAAATATCTATGAAACAACACTTACTGTACATTATAAATTGACATTAGGGAAATGTCTGTTATAAAATATTTATTGAATAGGCCCTTCTTAAAGACATTTAATATATGAATTGTGAATTAACATAACATACAATCGGCAAACACCTAATCATTAGATATTTTCCAGGAAAATTTGGTTTTATACTTGTCTTACATGAATAATGGTTTCCACCATGTGATGGACCCCCTCACCACACAAGCTTTATAAAATGGACTTATGGACACAATATGCATAACTCAAAAGATTCTTTGGACAGAATATCTCATGTAACCTATCAGTTTTAATGTCACAATCTGCTGGATCTGTATATCGTATTTAGGTGCATGTATCATTCTTGTGTATAAAGTTAGATATATGGAGTATGGAATGGTTTTCCATGTGCAAATGAAAGCCATCAAGGGTGTTTCCCTCAATGTTTGGGTGATCACCTGTAAACAGCCCCTTTTGTCCTTTAAGTCTTAGTAGTGATTGAGCTTAGGGAAGCATGTGACCTCCCTAACTGGTAGGGTCTGACCAAGTAATTTTCCATGTGAAACAAAGAATTCCCACTTAAAGATAAGGCTATTTAAGATGCAAAGTTTTTAGTTCTTTGTCTCTGGCTGGCATGGCACACCCAAAAGGATAACTGAAGATCCCAGGGAAAAGGGGGCTTCCCTGGTTAGGAGGCTTAGCTGGAAGAATAACAGTTTTAGGGTAAAGTTTGTACTGAGGTTTTAGTTTTAGAATTAGCTATGCATTTTTTGTTATTTTAAATTTGTAACTCACTTTGCTCTGCCTGTTTTCACTTGCAACCACTTAAATCCCACTACTTGTACTTAATAAAACCATTTTTATTTACTATCAAGCCCAGTGTATATAATTGTCACCTGGGGGAGCAATCGGCATGTACATCCTCCTTTCATTGTTAAAGGGGGTTTACCTAAATAATTCATTTAGGGTTCTAATCCCATTTAGGACTAGTTTCCCTGTAAGCTGGGCCCAAAACTGAAACGCTTCAGGTTAGAGGAAAATGCAGTGTCTGTATTGCTCTTTGGGGGTGGAAGAGTGGTGATCTTAGTTCTGTGCTTTGGCTGGGGGAGGCCAGGCAGGGTGGTAATAAGCCCCAGAGAGCAACAAGGCGAGTGTTAGTGGCTTTGCCGGTATTCCAGGGAAGTACTCCAAGGGGTCTTCTGTGACCACACCCTGTCACACACCATATTGGTTTTACAGATAGCCCTGGTTAGACAAATACTAGGGGCGAGAAACAACTGGCTCTGGCAAACCCTCCTTGTGTAAGGAAAAGGCTAGCGATAAACATATATCCTATGACACCTGTCCTTGTTCAAGTCATTTTTGTTCTTTTCTCCCTCCGTGACCATCTGTGATTTGTGCATCACTTTCCCAGTAGTGGTCTGGAGAGAGACCACTATCAAAAAACAGCTGTGTGTCAAGAAATACTATGGGTTGTGTGGTCCAGTTCAGCAAAGCACTTAAGCATGTGCTTGAAGCCAATGTATCTTAGGCACATCATTACATGCTTTCTGGAAAAGGGCTGGACTTAAGTACATGGCAGGGGCTTTGCTCAATAAGGACTTATTACAGGACACTTTACTTTCTCTTTGATTTGAGAAATATCTCAGTTTCTTCAGTTCCAAAAGGTATCTTATTGCTAGACTTTACAAGCTACACAGTGGGCTCCACGGTCAGATTATAAACTAAATCACTTTCATGTATTTGGGCAATGAAGCTGCAAGATTTTTCCCTTGAAGGAAAATCCTAGTTCAGAAAGATAACTTTAAAAATTATCATTGTTAGATTAATTAGGGATGGTATTTTCACACTCAGATCCAAAAATTTCAAAAGTATTATTTATTCAACATGAGAAGCGGCTGTGTGTTCAGTGTGTAGGGTCATTTTTATTATGTCAAAAGGCGCTTCATATTAATTAATGTGATTGAACTGAGTGCATTGCCTATAGCATCAAGAGATGACAGTGCTGCTGGAACTAAAGAATCAAATTCTGCACCCTGCAATACTCAGGCAAACCCACCAAAGTAAAGGAGAATTGAATGGGTGCAGATGAGAATAGAATTTGGCCCAGTGTTTGTGAGGGCAAATCAGTACAGCTATTGTATTCTTTCACCTAGAAAGAGTGCTTGCTGTGCACTGTAATTTTGACTTTCAGATTCAGACATGCAGCCTGCAGGCATTTACTGAAGCCTAATTGTGTTTCAATTTTTCTCAGCTGCATTCAATTAATTGAAACCCAGGATAACTAAAGGTCCTGAGGGAAAACTGTTTCAGAGAGTACTAGGGAAGAATACAGAACTGTCAAACTCAAGAGTGAAAAAACCTCATTTCATAAGGTTGTTTCTCCCTCCCACATCCCTAACAATGATACTTGCTTAACAATAATTTATAATTTGGCATGGTCAATCTGTCAGATATTTGAAAGAAAACTGCACTCCTCCTCCACATATGTCCTGACTTTCTTCCCACACACAATCCTATCACCTTGGGATTATGCCAGCCTCAACCCCATTTCCTACTACCTCTCCAATCAGCAGAGGAAGTCTGCTCCATTCTGGAATTCTTAGCTCTGTGGTTTTTATCTCACTGCAGCATAAAGCTAGGAGAGGGAGGGGTGAATACCATTACTTGGCACTGTTGGGTTGCTCCCAAGCCATTCCCAGGCCTGATCAGGGAGCTCCCTTGGTTTTGTAGCACACTTTGTTGGCAGTGAAATAAAATGGAATTGTGGGTAGCAGTAAAGATGGGAGCAGAAAGAAGCATCTGCAATCATCTCAAGCAGAACAGTGACACCTAGTGGCTGGAGCTGAGCAACAGAGCACAGAAGACAAGCAGTCACCTTTGGAAAGGCTTTTTTACAGTGTAAAAATTACTTAAAGCTTTGTAAATTTCCCAAGACTTTGAGGATCCAGCCACTGACAACATGAAAACAAAATGAGACTATCCATAAGAGCCACTCACTCATAAACCTAACACACTGGCCAAGAATGGATTTGCAGAAACCAATGACTGGACAGTATCAATTGAGAAAAGGCCTTTGAAATACTGAAATATCTGTTCCTATTTGCTTCACAAACTGTTCATTGTAAACTTACCTTACACACACACGTTCAGATGTAGTCTATAGAGATTATACTGGAATGTTTGTGTCTGACTGGCACATACCACACAGTAAGCTGCTCCCCTGAACTTGTGGCAGCCAGTTCTAATCAGCTGTAATAGCACTGAATCCATCACAAAAGCACATGAACTGATTCCTGCTTGTATATGGAGTTTGTCCACAGGGACCTGGGTAATGAGTCATCTTATCTAGCACCACAGTTTTAAAAAGCATTAGCAAATAGATACAGTAAAAAAGTGTTTAACAGATCAGCCAGAAGCATGACATGCACTTTACAGACATAAAACGAGACAAGTCTCAGCCTCAAAGATCTTACTGTAACCTAACAAAACATCATCAGAAAGGGTGAACAAGCAACAGTCATTGACACTGTTTCCATTCCTCGTCTCTAATACTCTAACATCCCAAATTCCTCTTGCAACCATATGCTAGCTTATATATTTTCCATTTTATTTTCAGCTTTCTCTCATTCTAATCCACGTTCCCCATCCTAGTCTTCATGCATTAATTCATTACCCTTTCCTATCCTCATCCATCAGCTGTTACCAACTCCTGACTAGTAGTTAATTCGAGATTTTACCTTTCATAATTCAGTCAGATGCTTTTCTGATTACTTCCAGACCGCTTTTCCCTGTGCCCTGTCACCAGAACATCCAAACCACTTACAGGATTTCTCATCCTGAAAAGCCCATTTTTGTAAGTCCAATTTTGATTTTTTTCTTGAAAGCTAAAATTCAGATCCTCATTCACCAGCTGTGTGGGGATAGAAGAAGGCTGTCAAAAGAGAACAGGATCACCTATACCATGTGGCTGACAAAAGAGCTGGAAACATTCACCTCTGAATCCTATTTCTGAAAAAGTCCAGGTGCCAATGCATCAGTTCACTAATATTATTTACAGTGCTTTAGCATATCACTATCATAGAAGTTTTTCAGGTAAGTACTACAGAGCAGATAAGAGATTATATTGAGAGCACGAGGAATGGCTTGGATAGATAGGAAGGTCCCTTTGTATGGCTGTCATTTTTTTTCTTCCTTTTTACTGAACTAGTACACATGTCTGTTTTGCATAATGACATGCACAGTTATGGAGAGATGCAGTATGTTCCTGGCTCCAGACATCAGAAAGATCCAATAATGAGATGAAGATGCCATCACTGGTGCTGCACCAACATTGTTCTATGCAATTTACCCGCCCTGAGTGATTTTAAGGAAGTGTTACTAGTAATGCAAATACAAACTTACAGAATGTCTGCTGGAAATGGGATAACGTTGGAGCCTCTGGAGCAACATTGTAGAAATGGGTCTTCAGCGCACCACTCACAAGTAGGTTGTATGCAAGGTCAGTTATGTTAATGCCAACAATAGCAAAAGAGTAACTGGAAGAAAAGCAAAGAGTAGGATTTATAGGAAATGCTGATGCCTTCCCAACTAAAGCTAATAGGCCCGAGGGAAGTAAATGTTTTGATTTTAAGAATACTACCTGACGGTAGGTTATTTTTCTCTTATCTGACAAGGTTCTTAGTACAATGAGAACAAAATAGTATAGATTGTACAGTTTAACATCATTGTTACCCTTTGATATCTGCCTGTACCACAATAACCGTTTTGTCATCTTGTTAGTCATTTTCACAGAAGCACATGGAACTACTTCTATGGAGGAAGAGCAAGACCTGCTTATTAAAGCCTCAGTGTTCTTGAATTCATTGTGGAAAGGGAGTGCTACACATTTTTCAGTATGGTAAGTAATTAGTTATTATTAATGTCCTGTTACACTTTAGACTACAACCTGTATTGTAGTATATGTTTACCCCTATTGAAGAACATCAGACTGGGACCAGCATGAGAAGAAAAAAGCTTCTACCCATAAGGATATTAAACAGTCTCTTTAAACATAAAAAGAACCAGTTGGAAAATATGCATAGGTTCTCTGTCTCAGCAGACACTGGAAATGATAAAAATTGATAAAATATTCTTTTAACACCCATAGGTTTACTTTGCTGTTGGGAAAAATCTCAGACAACATGTAAATAGATCTCTTAGTATAAATGATTCAGTTACTTCACTGTAGATCAAAGACCTGTTTGAAATGGAAATGAATTATCTGTATAAAGGGGCAACATTCTATACAGTCAAGAAAGTGAATAATCAAGGAAACTGCATTTTAATAAGTAGTCAATATGGTCTTCATGTTAAGAAAAAGGACATTATCCCTTGATTTGTGACCCTCAAACAAAGGAAGTGATACAGTCATCCCAAAATCATGGCTAAGTTGTCTCACATCACTAATCCCAGGTCCCCCACGTGTTGTTATAGTTGCTGGCAAGTGTCCCGTTCATTAATCACAACCTGTCTATGCCGGAGTCAAAAATGTGACCCCACCACATGAGGTGTATTCAACCCTTGATAAGATATGTGCAGTTACACACTGTCTCAAGTAAATGCTTGTTATCATTTTAAGAAGTTTTCACTTACTAAGAAGCAATTAAAAAAGCAGTACACTAGCTATAATCAGTGTATGGCTAAGATAACACCATTTACTGTTTTATGCTAATACTGAGATTTCATTAAAAATTGAATTCAAAAGCTATCCCCATTCAGCTCCAGGCTCAAGACACCAGAAAGAGAAAATATTTTATATAAAGTGAACAGATGTTATATGCATAAAATCTATCAGCATAATTGTGCTTTTATCATCTTTAAAAATAAGATCTTGTACTTACCCAATTGCTTTATCAAATTTTTTCTTCTCCCATTCAGCTTTGCTGATCTTACTGAAAAAAATGGATTCAGATGTTGCCACACACAATTTTTCAATTTGTTTTATACTGTAACGTATCAGAGGGGTAGCCGTGTTAGACATGCATCTGACGAAGTGGGTCTTTGCCCACAAAAGCTTATGCTCCAACACTTCAGTTAGTCTATAAGGTGCCACAGGACTCCTCGCCGCTTTTATACTAAAATGTTATCTAGCACAGGCTGGGTATTTTAAGCATAGTTGATCTGTCTAGTAGTATTTTACTTTGCTTCTATGATTTTGCTATAGTTTGATCAAACTGGCATAAAAGGTATGAAGCGAGATAAGCCTCCTTGACTTATAGCATCATGCATGTACTGTTCTCATCAGTGCAATCTGAAAGGAGGGTGTGGCTATGCTAGTCTCTCAGTCAAAATCAGTTTATTCTATATCCCCTTCAAAAAGATGGTCCACCACAGTTAAATTTGTTCAAGTGTTGAAAACCCTACATTTCTTTTAACTCTGATCCAGGATGACTTTAGCCTTTGGTGTACTCCAGGATATACATGACATTAATCACTTGAAACAAACAGGAAACTTGTACTTCTCCAATAGTGAATGGCTAAGGGAAATGATATAATAGATAATATGCTTTTTATTAATCTAAGTTAGAAGCTACAATTTAAACAACATTATTAGGCATTAAATATGGCTACTTGTTAATTACAAGGAAGTCCAGTTTTTAGATGTTTATGTACCACTCAAAACAGACAATTAAGAAAGAAACTATCTTCCAGCAATTAATACAATACATTCTAGGGCATGACAATGGAAAGATTTCTAGAAAACTATTTGATACAGTTTACACATGGCCATACCTGAACTGTATATTGCCAAACTTCAATGACATTAATCCGAGTTTTGCCTGAATGAGCACCAAGGAGAAATTTCAGACTTTGGATCCACTACAGGGAAATATTCTTAAATACAAACCATACAGCCACGTTCCATGTTTAGACTGCCATGTTCAGACTGATGACTTGTTAGAACTCAGACTACACGATACGATATAATACATACTCCCATGTACACATACATCATTTAGAACAATTTTGCACCATTAGAAATACCCAAATTCAGCCCTTCCAAAGATACTACCAGAACACAGACCGTGCCCATAGGAATGCTGATCCACTGATCTTCCCTAGCTAACATTGTTTTCATGCCATACAACTAGGTGAAAAGCTGAAAGAGGTTTATTACCTCTATGGCTCAGGGAACAAGACACCACATTTAAAAGTGTCCACATTTAGTGCTATATTATCATAGTGAAGGTGACCTAGGTTCAGTGGTATCTTCAAATGAAGATAGTTTACTAAATAAGAAGATACAGTTCAGTAGAAACAGAAACAATGTTCATAATTATCATGCGAACACCAGCACAGCCACTAAAAAAACCCACATACCCATCATAAAAACATAAAGAGCATCACTAGAAGCATTTTATCCCCCTGTGGATGCTCTTTCAAGGATGGAACATTCGTGCTCATATTCAGCATTCCAAAAGGTTTCTAAATAACAACAGTAAATGAAAAATACGAATGGCATTAGTATTCTCTGTCTCACAAAGATGCCACGGGAATATACAGAGTGCTTGCATAGCTACCTTGGTGCAAAATTCCCTAACATGGATAGATTCACAATCCAATTTCAATTTGTCATGTAAACTAATGGATGCTTTAATTAAAATCTTTGTTTTCCAAGTTGAAGGACAAAATCATTTAAAAATGAACATGACACATCCTTTTTCATTGGCAGATACACATTTCCTTTCATGAAGATGTTAATGGTAATAAACCAAAAGCTGTCCCCCATCTAAGGGGTGAGCAATATAAAAAGAGTAGGTCAGAGCAACTAGAAATGAAGCAAATTCTTCTAAAAATAAAACAACCTAAACTTAATAAAAAGATTAAAAAGAACTTGTGCACAATGATAACAAATATACATAGCTAATTTCTGTAGGAAACTGCTCATTTCAGATTCTGTTAAGATTAAAATGTCTTTGACAATAATAGTGTTCTCATTTTGAATCAATTTTATCTAATATTAAATACTGCTACTGGCCACCATGCAACAGAAATAGTTCTAAGAGAAAGCTCACATTAGATGCAAACTAGTATGTGTCTTGAACACAAAAACTGGTTTTATGTTTATGATATTGCAAATCAGGGACTAATTTGTATTTAATTATAAATAATTTCTATAAAGAAAAAACAAACAGAACAAAGCTTTCACAAACTAAGATGGGTCAGGCGAACCTACTCGTTCCATAAACTTCTAAGGAAACTCCTGGAAGAAGCGGCTTTGGCAATTCAATAGCAACACAAATCCACATGCTGAGAAAGAAGAAATATTTCACTGTGCAGGTGAAATAAAATCATTATTCTAACCCAGTTCTTATTTAAGCAATTGCATTTTGTCTGCTTCAATACCTCTCTGATGTCTTCACTTCCTGCCCTAGACAGTTGTGCTGTGGGAGAGACATGGCACTCCATTTATAGGTGGGTGAATTCTTGTCTGTGCCTAACACCACAACAGATTTTATCTTTGGTTGCTTATCATTTTTTTGAGAACTGAAAATGATTTGCACTACAGCAATGTTTCTGGTGCTATTGCTGCAGATATTATTAAGAAATAATCATAAACAACAGCAAAAGAAAGCATAAGAAGTCAGTCTACCAAAAGTAGCTTTCCTATTGGTTTGATTTAATGGTTAAGTGAGAATGTATTACCAATGATGACTTTTTAATACTGCCGGCAGGCTGAGATTATTTGTTTATCATTTATTTATGATTTTGTTTAACACTTCAGGGTGGTTATAATTAGGTTGTCATTTTGTTAATAAATCATCAAGGTGCTTGCAACTTCTATATATACCCCAATACTCCCATTGTATTGCAAGCTGGTGTGTAAATCAAAATAAATAAGATATAAAATCTATTGACCTAGGAGCCAGGTGGTTGCAAATTCTATTCCTATTCCCACTGCTGGTTCTAGCAGGCCTTTATAATATTTTGTGCTTGCATTGTACTATACAAACATTTAGTGAGGAGATGAATTAAAGGGGACATGTAACAGATGTACATAAATTAAAGCATGGCATAGAGAAGTTAAACTGGTCATTCCTATTTTCATATTCTTTTACTACAAGAGGAAAGGGACATCCAATCACACAAACAAGTGCTTTCTTTTACAATGTGCGTGGAACTCATAGTCACAAGATATTACAGAATCCAAGCAAGTAGCAGGATTCAAACACTGATTCACTGTATGATCACACAAAGAATAAACATTCTTGTTTTTTGGGGTAACTAACTATTTGCGGGTTTGAAGCGGTAGGAAGAAACTTTCCATACAGGCAGGCTTATCATTATAGACTCGTAGAACTGGAAGGGATTGCAAGAAGTCATGTAATCCAGTTCCCCTCCACTCATGGCAGGACAAAGATTTATCCATTACACAAACTTCTTGCATCTTCTTCTAAAACATCTGACATTGGCCATTGGTATGTCAGTGCAAACATACCCTGGTGATCACAATTCAGGAATAGAAGATAGGTGACATGAACAACTCGTAAACCAAAAACTGCTAGCCCAAATTATTTGGCAAACAGTTATGACTAGTAAGTCAGGGTCACAGAAGTCAGAATCTGTTTGCATGAGCTGAGAATTTTCATCGAAGAACTAAATTTATGACACTTTTTATTTGCAACCAACTTGACCAGTTGTAGCCACAATACACACAATCTTCTATAAATATAAAGAAGCAAGGCTGACATCAGCATGCTTAATTGGACCATATCCTTGAGTAGCCACCAAGATTTGGTGTCCACTGCAGCACAGAGCTAGAGAAGGGAATACATCCAGTACACCCTGGGAGAATGCTTGGATACATGTTGTGTTTACTGTAATTTATTTACATGTAAAAGTTTTACAAAACTGAAAGAAAAGAAAAAAAATACCTTAGCTCCTCTTTAGTGACTTCCCTTCATTGTGAAAGATGAGAGAGTTAAAGAAAAGCACATAAAAATATAAGTTGTTTAAAATTAAAATATGGAATAAAATGAAAATATTTAGCAATAAAATAAACGTGTCTGATTCAGTACATGAAATACATGAGTTTGTCCTCTCAATTTGATTAATTTATAATCAATAGTTATTTTAAATTTAATTTAGAGATAGGGCTTGTCTATAAGGAGAATTAGTATTTCAAATAGAAGTAGTGAAAGTGCACTAGGGACTGGCAGTAGGGTCTGTATGCTCAATTAGTAGGTGGCAGGCTAGGGGTCTGTAGATTTCCACTCCAGTTTGCCATGCACTAACTCCTCACATAGACAGCCCCCATGACAACATGTGGCAATACCCAAGCACACAAGTTTAACAAAAAATCTTTTGGAGACAATTTATTGATAGCCTGAAGCATTACCTGTATTTTGGCTGAAGGGAATCAGAGAGAACTTGCTGAGCTACTGCAGAATCCCATTCGGCAAAATATCTGTAGGTGCACACATTTAAATGTTTAAAGCAATTTGTGAACAAAGTCAGGAAATTCTTAGCAGTCTATACTTATACAATAGTCCCAGTCCTTTCAAATATTGCCACGGGCAGTTCTGCATAGGTACAATGGTAGATGTGGTCCCTGGGCCTCAGTGCTCCTCCCCCCCAGTATTGGGAAGCCTGTGCTGGCACTCCAGCCCCCGCTACCCCTCTGCCCAACTGATTCTTCTGTGGGATAGTGGCTCCCACCCAAAAAAGATTCCCTGTTCCTGCTTTATATCCAAGGACAGTAGAAGCGTAGGGTTTTTGATTAATATTGACAGAGGTAAAAAAAAAAAAAACAATCAATGAAAAATAAATTATTTAAAGTTCACCAAAACAATCACAGCTATATTTTTTTCAGTACCTAATTATAAGAATGATTGTGATCTAACCACCCACAACTAACAGTGACTGCATTTTATCAGTTCCTGTAAATCCTATAACTCTCAGAGCACAATTTCCCAGAGGAACAAACATATATAGGGAGACAGACAAGTTTAACATTTTATACAAAGTACACCTTGACACAAAGAATATGATAAAGCAAAATAAATGTTATATGCCCAATGGAAAAGTTTCAATTCTCATGTTTAATCCATGTTTTGCAAATGACTCCAAATATAACATAAGAAACAGAATTACCACAGTAAACCAGCATCTAAATTTCAGGATTCATGAATTAAGCACAAAGTTTTGGGTTGCTAAAGAAACAATTCCATCTAAAAAACAACCCTCATTGTTTTTGGCAATTTTCTGAGATGAGAGTCTTTATAAGCATAATTCCTGAAACGACCTGTTAAAGATGATATTGACATTTGTGTTGTATTAGTGGAAATGGTATTTCACCTTCAAACTCAAGTATCTGTGTATCTACTTACAACAAGTTATATAATCCCAGGAGGCCCATCCCTCTAAAATCTGTTTTAGGATCGTCACCTTGGAAACCAATTTCACACCACTGCTTCGAAATCCGAGCTTCTAATGGGGAATCAGGCTTCAAACATTTCCATAACTAGGAATATTACAGATAAATTATGATTAAGTTTTCATTTACATAGTAGGTCTTCATTTTTATGAAATTTTCCATGCAATCTAAAAGCATCATTATGCATAGCATTCAGCAACCAGAGCCTGTGGCTATGTATCAGCCCCTAACAAGTTTTTTCTTTAATACTGCAAACAGTCCAAATACTACCACAGGAAACCCCCTTTGACCTTATACAATAGTTGTAACAAACCTTCACAAGGACTGGTTTCTTTATACTTTATGCATCAAAATAGAAACTGCCTCCATAAGCAGAGTCAGAAATACATTAGCATTTTGCTGTAAATAACCGACAAAACCACTGGGCAATGAGCCCTCTCAGTTCCCTAAGGCTCTGCAGCAATCTTTTCTTATACATCTTTTGCAATACTCCAGAATGATCGGAAAATGAGAGCGCTGACTGGGCTAACATTATACTGAAAATATAAAAGAGAAACCCCTAAACATGAATGATTTAGTTCACCTTCATACCTAATTCAAAGATGAGGCCTTCACTGAGCTCACATAAAAATAACAAAAGGAAAAAGTACCTTGATTTAACAAAATGGTGTAAATGAAGTTAGCTTCATTGGTCCACTGTATCTAGTTTGGGTTACTGATAGTAAGAGGGTCATTTTCCCTAGGCATTTTAGATGCTTTTGGTCCTACGTATCTTTTTACAGTCTCCATTTTGACATCGTTTATTAAAGTACATCCACAGTGAATATCGTGTCTAGATATCACATTGATGGGAACCCAATAAAATGCTTAAATTGGCAGACTTACTCCAAAAAGATGTACACAATGTACATAAAAGAATATGTGCAAATGTACTTCTTTACACTGTGAATGAGTAAAATTGTTAATCTAAAACCACTGTAATCAGTTCACTTTCATATTCTCAATCAATGTCTCATATTAAACACTCACATGAAAATGCCTTCTTGAAATTCAAAAAGCCATTAAATACTAGGAGGAAAAAATGAAATTCCAAAACATCACATTCTAGAATTCGAAACACATTTTCATTTTTAACATTTTATAAAAATCATTTATTCGACTTTTTAAAAATAATGCTTTGTCTTTGTTAATATTTCCTGTTTTATCATAGAATGCAATAGCATGATATGTTTAAAGCCCATTTCCTAATTCTTACTTGTACAGCCAGCAACAGTAAATGCATCAGTATTCTTCACTAGTTCAATGACATTGGATAAATCTTTATCTCACAAAATGTCCTCCTTGTAACATGAAATAAAAAACATTAAGAGCATGGAGATTTTCCCACTGGAAAGCTCACTTAATCAGAATATCTAGAAACAATGAGGAATCAACCTAATTTTCCCTAATGTAAATTGAAAAGAAAACCAAGTTCCAGACAGACCACTATTTGATATTCACTAACTCTCATGTCTCTAACACATGCTTGATAAATGGCATGGGAGGCAAATATTGGAGAATGGACATCAATATCCTTATTTTTAAAACAGAAAGATCTTTAAAATAATATAGTAACTTGTCGCTTAATGTTGTAGTTGTGTTCCTAAAAAATGCTTCTTTAAACAAAAAGATGTTAAGTGAATCCAATTTCCTCATAAGAATTAATATAAATGGGGGGTTAGGTTCCAAGGAATATTTTTCGACAAAGAACACTATCTATATATACAGCATAAGTTTTAAATAACTTTAAACTGTACTCACCAATGACGATTGTGCAGTTTGGTTGAGGAAGGGGTGTAGTGGGGTTGGGAATGGGGGTTTGCCCTACTCTGCCCACCCAGTGCTACTCCTGAGGAGTGGGGCCAAGGTGTGGGAGCTTGCCCCATTCCGCCTGCTCAGCACTCCTGCCAGAAAGTGGGGTCAATGACTTGTCCACTCCCCAGCTAGAATGCAAGGCACACGGAATGGGTTAAGCCTCTCTGTGTCCTAAGCCCGCTCCCTGTCTGGAACGCTGGTCAGGCAGAGCAGGGCGATCCAAACAACCTTATAACAGAAAACTGTGTGACTTAAACAAGTATGTCCTCTATACATCAGCAACCTACTAATGAAACAATGTTAATCAGGATGACTTTAAGTGAAGAGTTACTGTATGCACAAAAGTTTCTCTCAAATCAGTTACCATGTGGCTTTAGTTCTAATTTAAGAGAAAAAAATTAGAAAAGCAACTATGTGATTTAGGAGCCTATACCCCATTTTCAAAAGAGATTCAGGAACTCTGAGGAGGCCAGGCTGTTCAAAATATTTAGGGATCTAAAAATGCAGATAAATGCTTTCTAGACTTTTCAGAAGTACTTTGGTACTTTACACTCATGGATTTCAGTGACTCCCTAGTGGCTTCTATTGTAATGGGACATACATATTTGTGAAATTTTTACTCATATGACTCACCCTAGGCTACAATTCTGCAAAATTACAAAAAATATGTTGCAGATGATGGTTGTACCAGCTACCAGCTATAACTTAACAAAAAAAATTCAAATGTTTGTTTTTCAAAGACTGTTCAAACGTATTTATGCTGAGTTTTCTATTCCCGGAGTTTCTTGGGTTTGACAGGTGTATTAGGAGGAAATTTTAACTGGGGGTATGTTATCCGCTATCCACTTTTGCAGGGCTTCTTGTACGTTCTCTGAAGATCTTGTCCTGGTCACTTTTGGGGACAGGATACTGGACTACATGAAGCATTGGGGTAAATCATCATTGCAGTAGATACTTTCTCCCAATACTCTATCCCTTCCTCTGCTCTAAGTGAGACAAGGAAGGCGTCTTTGCTATCACACCCCATTTCAAATCTTCTGTTTTTGAGCCCTGTTCATTATGAATAATGTGAGTGCTGGCTTCTGCTCAAGTACAGGGCCTTTCCCAAAGATCAGCAGACAGTCTGATTCTTACCAGTTTTATTGCTGCCTACAATGATTCTAAAGAGCAGCACTGAAACCTCACTAGACAGGTTATGAAAGGCCAAACCTGGACACCAAAGTTGACTGACTGTTGGTCAGTTTTGGCCTTTCATAACCTGGACACCAAAGTTGACTGACTGTAGTATTACTTCAATTGTAGATTATTAAATATGAGTTTTCATAGATTCAACCCCTCTCCCCCTCGCATACAACCACATCTGATTTTGAAATATTGATTGCAGGAGGTCTGCTTCTGGTGAAAGATGTCAACACATTCAAAAAGCAAGAGAATCTACTTTGCCTAATGCTGGAGAAAATAAACTCTCTTTGCTTGAAAGAAATATTCAGACAGTCCTTCACTACAAAACTGGTAGCTTGGTCTATTTGCTAAAGTCAGGGAGATCACAGGGTTGTTAATCCAGTAAATCACTGACATCTGGGGGGCCAAATGACAGAACATTTTTCTAGGTTTTTGTGTTTTGTGCCAAAAATTCCCACTTGTCTCGCACTTTTGTGAGCGTATGTCTCTAGTGTCAGACTTTGCGTTCGTACCCACTGAGAATAGAGGGGTTAAAAATGTTCCTTCAGGAACAGAGGGAGACCAGATACTAGGCCATGTCAAGGTCCCCAGGCCTCAACTGAATATTGTTAGAAAAGGCCTGTGAATTACATTAATGTGTTTAAGATTAATTGAATACTTGTGAGCTGCTACATGCATTAATCTCATGTACATCTGTATCCCACATTATAAAATAATATTTAAGCATTTGCATTGTAAGCCTCTGTAACTATGTAGGCCAGCCTTAAGGTTGGTACTCAATATCCTTGAACCACAGCATGACAGCCTGAACAAGAGGAAAGACACGAAGAGCTTGGAATATGTAGGTGTCCTTGGTGGTATGGTGAATTAATTCACTATCAAGAAATGTTTCTAATCAATAGGAAGACTTTAATAGGAAACAAAGCTCTGTTGCTGAAGATTAATTCCTATGGCAAATGACTTCTCTTCCTGCACCTTTCTGCAGGGAAGCAAACCTAAAATCCCTAGCCAGAGAACAATGGAGTGAAGGTGGTAGGCAAGAACAGGGTTATCTTGAAGGAAGGGTTTTCTCTCGAAATAATCCTTTTTCCCCCCCTCGAACTAGCACTATTCTGCAATAGCGCCATAAAGTGATTATGCAAATGAAGCGCAGGAAATTCAAATTGCGCTTCATTTGCAATTTTGGGTGTCTGCATTTGCATTCCTCTCTCAGAAGAGGAATGAAATGTAGACATACCCTTAGGGAATATGGAGCCACCGGGAAACAAGTGTCCAAGCAATTTCAGCTCTCACCTTTAGAAGCAACTCTTCATGTTGAGGATTCTCTGAATCATATGGCTCTCTGCGTAGCTTTTCAACCTCTGCGATCAGATTTCTGTACCCTACAATCTGCAGGAGGCAGGCCTGAAGAGATACTCCTAACCTAAGCAAAAAAAAAGTCAAATAAGGAGGTAGTGTAATTTATATTAATATCCTCATTAAATGAAAAACTTTAATAAGCTTAATTATGTAGGAAGATTTTAATGGGTTCACTTTCCTCTCACCAGAAAAATTATATTTAAAAAGAGATTTTGTACATATCACAATTTTGCCATTTACTAGCTTTCTACGGTATTTGGACTTACTTTGCAACGAAATCTCACATTTGTTAACACACCACTCTGATGATATACAGCAGCTGTGTCGATGGTCTGGTAAAACAACTGTACCAAATCTTTTCCTTCATGCAAAACAGTTTCTCAAAGAAAAAGCCCTGAGACTGGCGATCAACTAAAAAATTCACATTGAATTAATCATTAAAAAAGGGAGTTACTCACCTCGTGCAGTAACGAGTGTTCTTCGAGATGTGTGTCTCTGTGGGTGCTCCACTGTAGGTGAAGGGTTGCCCTGAGCCGCAGATCGGAGCTTTGTATAGCAGTTTCCCCTGTTGAGCCACGCATGCCCAGGAGGCGTCTCGAGCCCTTCCCGCCTCCTGAGAAGCGTGACTCAACCCCCTCCCTTTCAGTTCCTCGTCTCCGCCCGAGAATTTTGACTCCGAGCAGAGGGGAGCTAGGGAGGGTCGGGGAGCACCCACGGGGGGACACATCTTGAAGAACACTCGTTACTGCACGAGGTGAGTAACTCCCTTATCTACTTCGTGTAGTGTCCCCGTGGGTGCTCCACTGTAGGTGACTACAAAGCAGTATTCAATGTAAGGCTGGAGGGAGCCGGAGTCATTGTTTAGCAGTGGTAGAAAGTACTGCTGTGGCAACTGCTGAATCACTCTTGAGTTGTGGAAGGACAGCATAGTGTTTAGCAAAAGTATGATCTGAAGACCATGTTGCTGCTCGGTAAATGTCTCTTAAGGGGACATTGCCCAGAAAGGCTGTAGAAGCGGCCGTGGCTCGAGTAGAATGCGCTCGTGGTGGGCATTGTAGCGGTCTATTGCCCAGAGAGTGACATTTGATTATACATGTCGATATCCACTTTGAGATTTGTTGCTATGATATTGGTGTCCCTTTGGATCGTTCAGCAATGGAGATAAAAAGTCTTTCAGATTTACGAAATAGTTTTGTTCTTTCTAGGAAGAAGGCCAGAGCCCTCCGGATGTCCAGAGTGTGCAGGCTGGCATCTGTGTGCGAAGAATGCGGTTTTGGGAAAAAAGTAGGTAATACGATCGGTTCGTTGAGATGGAATTCTGTACAGATCTTTGGCAAAAGCGTGGGGTGGGGTCTCAGTATGACCCTATCCTTTGTGAAAACTGTGTAAGGAGGTTCTGACATTAATGCTCCAAGTTCGCTCACCCTCCTGACGGAAGTAATGGCTAATAGGAAGCAGACTTTCATAAAAAGGAAGGGAAGTGGTACTGTTGCCAGTGGCTCAAAGGGAGGTCTGGTGAGGCAGTTCAAAACAAGATTTAGGTCCCACAAAGGG